GCGTTGCGCCATGTCGCCCTGCTGCCCGGGCGGCGGGGGCGGGCGATGCTGCTGCTGCCGCGCTGGGGATTTGCAGCCAGGAGAAAATGCTGTCGCTGGGAGGAAGTAAAAGAAAAAAAACTCACCCAAAACTGGGGTTGCTCAATCATTGCTGGGAGCGGCGGCGTGGCTAAGCGGCTGCCGTGCGGGCCTGAACGCCGACACCCCAGGTTTGCTCGTTTTGCAAGGTTTCGTGCTGTTTTTATAAGCAGCCACCTCCCCAGTGTGTTGAAGGGTGATGTGAGGCTGAGGATGGCCCCCAAATTCACTTTGCATTTGACACTGACCCAATGCTGCTGTGACATCCCGTTGGAAAAGCCAGCAGCATGCGGTGGCTTGGCAATGCTGGCCTTTGCTGGGCTTAAAAAAATGATGTATCAACCCCAACAACCCCACCACCATTGTGAAAGCTGAGGGTGAATCAGTGGGAGGCTGAGGAGCATCGCCATCGGTTTGGGGGCAGGGCTGGAGTCAGGGTGCTGGTGGGGAGGTTGGTTGGGGGCAGGAGATGGTCTCAGGGTGCCCTGGAAGCTGATGGTCTCCTCTCCCCCTCCATGCAGCCACAGCCAGCCCCCTCCACGAATGCGGAGAGCGGCCAGAGGACTGGTGCCGTGACGTGGCGACGGCAACCAAGTGTGGGGCACTGGAGCTCTGCCGGATCACTGTCTGGGACCGGGCCCTGGGGGTAACTGCGCCAGGAGGGAGGGATGTGGGATCCTGCCTCAAAATGTGGGGCTGGGGGAGAATGACAGCCTGCCCACCCCAGATGCTGGGCACCCAGAGGAGCATCTGCTGACGCTCTCAGGCAGCAGCATGGCTGCAGAGTGGGTGGCACAACTGGTGTGGTGTTTTTGGGGTGGAGGATTAGGATTTGGGGAGCAAATGGTGGGTCCAGGTGCCATGGCAGCATCCCAATGTGTCCCCTCTCTCAGCAGAAGGGGATCCCGTGTCATTTGTGCCAGGTGGCGGTCTCTGTGATGGGCAAGATCCTGCAGGACAACTGCACTGAGGTGGGTCATGGCTGGGAGGGGATGCAGGGCTGGTGTCCTCCCCAGCAACACCACAGGGGACAACCCATCCCTGAGGTCTCCCCTTGTCACCTAGGAAAAGCTGCGGATCTTCTTGGATAAGAAATGCCAGTACCTGCCCTTCCAGGACTGGTCTGTCAAGTGCAAGAGGATGGTGGACACCGGCATCCTTGTCCTTGTCCAGCTGGGCAAGCAAGTACTGGTAACTAGCAGGGGACCCGCTTGGGTTTGTGTTTCTCCATGGCTGGGGATCTTTTGGGGGCTCACAGGGCAAAGGAAGCTCTTGGAACCGGGGACAAAAACCTCTGCGGGGAGGAGATGGGGATGGAAATGACCCAGGGATGGGGGGGGGAGCAGGGCGATGGGGCAAAAACCCCCCAAGCCCCCACCCCTCTGCTCCCCCAGTCAGACCCGAAGGTGGTGTGTGGAACCATCAAGCTGTGCCAGCCCCGGGAGAGCCTCACGGGGGCCCTGAAGTTCCAGGAGCCACCGCCAGACCCTGCGGGCCCTGCTCAGGACTTTGCCGACCTGGTTGCTCCTTTCATCGCCAACGTGCCCCTCCTGCTCCATCCCCAGCACCTGCCTCGCGGTGAGGCCCAGGTACCGTGGCACAGGCGAGAAGCCATCGATGTCGCTCAGCAGTGAGAATCACCTAAGCATCACCTACTTAACAATAATTTAAAGAAATGTTAAAACTGCTGTATAGCTGAAATGGCATCCTTGCCGACCTGGTTGCTCCTTTCATCGCCAACGTGCCCCTCCTGCTCCATCCCCAGCACCTGCCTCGCGGTGAGGCCCAGGTACCGTGGCACAGGCGAGAAGCCATCGATGTCGCTCAGCAGTGAGAATCACCTAAGCATCACCTACTTAACAATAATTTAAAGAAATGTTAAAACTGCTGTATAGCTGAAATGGCATCCGATTAAGGGTCTCACCAGTTCGGGTGCAGAGAGGGACCAGGAAGATGCTGGCCAAAAAACTGCCCCAGATTGCCACTGCCATTTAAATCCCAGCTCTGCAAATCCAGGCGTGAGTGGCTTAGGGGGGGTACTGATGTGTCCCTGCCCTTGTCATCCCACAGGCAATGGAAGACATGTGTGGGGACTGCCTGCAGCTGGTGACTGCCATGCAGCTGGAGCTGGGGACCAACGTCGCCTTCACCCAGGCACTGGTGGACCACGCTGAGCGGCTGTGCGAGGGCTTGGCACCCGGCCTGGCACAGCGGGTATGGGCACCAGTAGCCTGCTGGGCTCCCTCCTCCTCCTCTATGTCACCCAGGGGGTTTGGGCAGGGCCGTGGGGTGTCCCTTGGGTGCTGACGCCGTGTCTCCCCTGCACAGTGCAAGCACTACCTGGCTGAGTACGCGGACACGGCTGCCCAGCTGCTCCGGTACCTGGTAGGTAGGAACGCGGCTCCCTGGTGTGCTGGGATGGGTGGGTGCTAGTGGAGGGGTGAGCAGCACTGACAAGGGAACCCTGTTGGCAAATGCGGGACCCTGCTCTTGTATGAGTGGTTTTGTTTTGTTTTGGTTTTTTTTTAAATTAAACCTGCTGCTTTTTACGCTACAAACTTTTAAATATGTTGTCCCCTTGCTCTGATTTGTGACTGCTGTAATTGTTTTTTATTTCTATTTTTTTTCTTGCCATTTTCTGGCCCCTCCACTGGCAGCAAGCTGAGGTAAGCAAGACCTGCACTGCAACAGGCTGAAATCACCTGCCATGGTGGTGGGGCATAGGCTCAACCTCCCCACCTGCTCACCTGATTTTTGGAGGTGTCTCTCCCCAGGACCCAATGGAGCTGTGTGGCCATCTGGGACTCTGCTCCTCTACCTCAGCACTGCCCCTCCATACGCTGTTAACCGAGAAGGTGACGCAGGTCCTGAGCGCACTGGGGGTAAGTGGTGACCCCTCCACTTTGCCGTGCTCCTTAAAATCCAAACAGCAGGAAGGGGAAGCCTAGTTTTACATTTTTTCCTTGAGCACCCCTGTTTTTCCAAGATGGGGAATGGTGATGGTTGGTGGGATGGGGGTGGCTCTGAGGGGCTGAGCGTGTGTCCCATTGTGTTGTCTCAGCAGGATGGAGAGGGGACCACGCCGCTGTGCGACATGTGCCAGTTCGCTGTGAAGATGGCCGAGAGCCTCCTGGAGAACAACGTGACAGAGGTGAGCCCTTGCCGCAGTGGTTTGGGGATGGGGTGGGCCAGGAAAAGGGGAAAAAGGCGGTGGCAAGGATGGGGAAGATCTCCCCATCCCTCCACCTGCCTTCTCCTGGCAGGAGCAACTGGTGAATGACATCGAGAAGGTGTGCTACATGCTGCCCCATGGCGTCATTGGGCAGTGCAAGGACTTTGTTGACTCCTACGGCAAAGCCGTGGTCATCATGCTGCTGGAGAAAAACAGCAGCTGTCTGCACCATGCTGCACTGCTGCCCCCGCAGTGGGGATGCCCACCGAGGTGAGCCAGGGGTACCCGGGTGGCACCCAGACAATGGGTCCCCAAGGAACAGGGTGCTGGCGAGGGGTCCTAACAGCCCCCACCCCATGTCCCACAGGGGCCGCCGCGCTGGAGCAGCTGGCAGTAGGTGCAGGTGCCTTCTGCAACGTCTGCCAGATCGTCATCACCTACTTTGATAACGAGCTGCTGAAGAACGAGACGCTGGCGGAGCTGAGCAACATGCTCGAGAAGGGCTGTGAGCTGCTGCCCACGCCGCTCACCGGCCAGGTGAGCCAGGGGGAGCACCCAGTGGCAGGGACCCCTCTGGACCCCTGCCCCAGGCTCACCCCCTCTCTCCTTCCCAGTGCGAGGCGCTGGTGGTGCAGTATGAGCCGGCAGCCGTGCGGCTCCTCGTGCAGATGATGGACCCCGACTTTGTCTGCACCGTAAGTGTCCCTGTGCCGTGGGTGCTGCACCTGCTCCCTGGGGCAGTTGGACCAAGATGGGCATCTTTCGGCCAAGCTTGGGGGACTGGCATAGGAGCCAGGGGGTCAAAGGGTTCTCATGGGGTATTTTTCTTTTCCCACCTTCTTCCTTTGCAATGTAGAAAATAAGAGCCTGTGATTCACCTGAGGAGGATCTCCTGGGCTCAGACCCCTGTGCCTGGGGCCCACAGTACTGGTGCAAGAACATGGCCACGGCCATCGAGTGCCATGTAAGTGTCAGCTGCATCCCCTCCCTTGGGTCATCAGGGTGCCAGGGGTCCCTCCCTGCCATTTCTCCCCATCTCTCCCACAGGCTGTTGAGCACTGCCAGCGTCACCTATGGAACTAGGAGCCACCCCCCTGGCCGGCCGGGCTCGCCCTGCTGTTTTGGTTCAGGATCCCAGACCCCCTTCCCTTGGGATGCGCCTGTGCCCATGGACCGTGGTGGCACGAGCTCATTGGCTTCACCACCCTGCTGGGGGCTGTGGGGTGTCCCAGTCTTCTCTGCTGCTTCCTTCTCCACCCCTGGGGCTTGGATTTCCGAATCAGGTTAAGGGACTTGTCAGTATTTTCAGGACTGGGGATTCAGCCTTGACATCTCTCAGGGTGACTGCAAAAATCCTCCCATCCCTCCTGCATCCCCAACTCCATCTCCTTCTTTATTCCCAACCCCACCCTTATTTTATCCCCCTCCACATCCCCATCCCTCCCTGAACCACTTGCAAAGCCCAGATCCTGCAACATGGACCCATCCCCGTGGGCTGGGATGGTTTCTGCTGCCCAAACATCAGCTCCTGGCCATTGGCAGCCTTGTACCACAGGTCTCGTTGGCTTTTGCCAAGCCCAGTCCTTTGCTGGTCCCTCTTCAAACTGGGGTGACTCTTTTAGTTTATTTTTTTTCCCTCTGGACACCAGTTAAAGAAACAAAGTGGATTAAATTTACCGTCAATGCCCAGCTTTGCATGACATACACTAATTTTGCACTTAGCTGATTGCTGGAGATAGATATCTCTATTTTAAGTATCCCCTGAACAAAAAATGAGTGAGTTTGGGGGCAATGATATTGTTCATGCACATGTGCCCACTGGGGGGTCCTGTGCTGACCCAGCTGTGGCAGTGAGGGGCAGTGGGGTGCTGGCTTGTCCCTCCCCACCATGGGAGAGGGGACATCCGCAGCGCCTGCTCCTGAGTGTGCATGGGAGCATCTCACCACAAATAAACTCTTCCTGTGAGCCCGGCTGGTTGTGTCCCTCCTCCATGTCCTGGGGTGCTGGGGGGCTGGTGGCATGACAAGGCTGAGGCAAACCTAAGGGAGGTTTCCCTGAAATCCTGGAGCATCTCCCAAAGGTGATGGATGGAGGGGTGAATTAACAGAAAAAGGGGTTTTTCTCTTCAAAAGGCAGTTTGGGTGTGATGAATCGGGCGCAGCTGGGGAGGAAGGATGACAGAGAGGTTACCCAAAGCCAGAGACAGTGTATTTCTGAGTCCTGTAACAGACCGTGCCCGAAACTCTCCACAAGGTTACAACTGGAAACAAACCCCTGAACGAACAAACCCGAAAGCAAGAGAGAAGGGGAAGGAAAAGGGCATAAAAGACACGCACGAGCACTCCACATCCAGAAGCCCCAGTTATTGTTTGTCTCTCTCTCTTTTTCTCAATGTTACAACATGTTTTGGTAAAGCCAGCAAAATGGAGAAATGTCTGTGTTTTTTGAGGTTTTTTTGGGGGTCTTTCCTTGATGGAAAGGTGACTTGAATGCCAAATGGGCTCAGCCTCTCCCGTGCTGCCCCGGCCCTCCCCGTGCCCGTGGATGAGATGTGATGGCTGTTTGTCCCCAGCCTGCGCCTGGGGATGCTGCAGCAGCACATCATCCCTACCTTCACCCCTGTCCAGCCTGGACTCATCGGATTTGTTTAGCATTTCTTTTTTTAAAAAAAAGAAAAAAAGAAAAATTTTTTTTTTTCTTCATAAGAAAAATTAAAAAAAATATTAATGCTTTCATGGATAAATGACAGGTGAGTAAAAGCATATTGGTCCTGAGAGCCCTTTCCCGGGGCCAAGCTCTCCAAGGCTGCCAGAGCGACCCGCACCGGTTGGCCTGGACTCCTTCTACAGGGGAATGGGGGGGCCAAGCACTGGTCTCGGGGTGTCCCCGGCCCCCACCACAGCCCCCCTAGTCCGTGCTTTATCCCCGCCGGCCCCGGCTTGCCTAGAGGAACATCACCACCGCCATCGCTCGTCATAACTCGGTGATCTCCAGAGGGCTCTCCATGATCACCTCCCGCATCTTGTGCAGGGGAGTGGATTTGGCCGACTCGGTGCGGGCGTTGTGGTCGCTGTAGCCCCCGCAGTCAGCGGTCAGAGTCTCCAGCGAGCGACCCAGCACCTTCTGGTCATCCTCAGGCAGGCTGTTGAGGTCGGAGGCGAGCAGCGTGCCCGTGCTGCCGTGCACTACATGGATGCCATCAGGACCTTTCAGCTCCACCGGCTGCTTGTGTCGGAAGCGGAGGCTGCCCGGGCTGGGGCTGTGCTCCTCCTCCTCCTCCAGCTCCTTCTGGATCAGCTGTAAAAGGTCCATGAGGGGTGAGAATCACCACTGCGGCCAGAGCAGATCCTGGCTTCCCTGCTTGCAAACCTCCTGCAATGCCAGAGCCCAGCAGGATGGATGGGACCTCCCTCTTCTGAAGCAACCTCAAGAGTGTGGTGATGAGGATCACCAGCCTGATGATGATCTCCAGTCAGATTGCTTGTTCATTGGGTGAGTAACCTGGCTCAGGCACTGGATGCCAGCTGGGTGGAGGGGTCCAGCAGCAGCCCCCACAGTGGCCAAAGAAGGGTTGGACCCAGGGTTGGGATTTGGGGTTGTACAAGGGTGGTGAGGGAAGAGGCAGAAAAGGAAAAGAGTGGAGGGAAGGCTGGATGGGGCTGGAGGTGGATAAGGGCAAACAGGGACAGGGGGCAGAAGGACTGAAAAGTGTCTCCCATCCCACTGCTCTCCTCCGTGTTTTGACCCCATGAAGAGGGGGAAGGCTTTCAGAGGAGTTCCTTCTCCCCACACCAGCCTTCCTGCACCAAAACCCTCCATTCCAGCCTTTTTGCCTCCAAAACCTGCTGGGTTGATAACTGAGAGGAGCAGAGGGGAGGCAAGATGTCCCCACAAGTGTGCAGGGACCTGCAGCTTCTTGACCAGCCTCAGTGGAGCAGCTGCCTCAGTGGAAAAGCAGAGTCTGGATCATTTTGGCCAAGCAGGGAATGGGAGGACCACTGGATAATGAGGACCATGGCCTGCAGGGCCAGGAAGACACACTGCATCCCAGAGGGCACAGCAAGCATCTCCCCACGCCCATGCACTACCTCCGAGACCGAGGAACGGTCCCCCTGACTGGCGGTGGCCTTATGCACCATCCTCTGGGCAAAGAGTTTTTTCAAGCGCATGTAATCATCCAGGACCACCTTCAAGAGAGAGCCCTGGGCAGAGGGGGAGAGAGGATGGGTTACCAAAGGGAGGTGGTTTGGTCAGAGGGAGGTCGGCCTCATCCCAGCACTTTTTTGAGCAACATCACCCTTCAGCACCACAGCTGTGAACCTGGAAGCCAGAGTGGTAGGAAAAGACCCCTTGGTGGAGGATCCTCACACTTGTCACTCACCTTGATGGGTCCCTCCCGCATGATCTGCCCCAGCTTGGCAATGTTGTCGTACTCCTGGATGGCTGCCCGCAGGTAGCGGTCATCCTCAGGCTTGGCCGCGGAGGGCTCTCTCCCGAAGGTCCCCTGCAGGAGGAGAGAGTGGCTGTGGAGGCGGCATGGGTGTTGGGTGAGGAAGGAGGTGTTCCTGGTGGGGGCCATGGCTCACATGGGTGCGGGCAGGGCTGTTCCAGAGGTCAGTGATCTCGCTTAGGTTCTCTGGCAGGTCGTCCTCGTGCTCTGCCTGCGCTGCCAGCTCCATGTTCCTGCAGAAGGGGTCCAGCCACACCGGGTTGGCCCTGCTCAAGGGAGAGAGAAGCAGTCCTCAGGGCAGGCAAAGAGCATCTGAAAACCCCATCCAGAGCCCAGATGAGGTTGCGCTGCCTTGTCCTGCCCTGTGGAGACATGAATGTAGCTGCTCTGGATCAAGATGTGTGTTGGTACCTGCCCGACATCTCCTTTTACCCCAAGCCTGGTAAGTACTGGTAGAATGGAGTCACAGGAGAAAGCACAAGGTATTTTGGCTTTGAAAGCTCCCAGGGGCAAGCACACTTGCCAGGGCCAGAGTCATGCCCCGCACAGCATGCCCGGCTGCATCCCTCCACAGAGCAGAGAGGTGTCCCATCTCCAACTCCTGTGTGTCCCTGGCTGCAAAATGTAGGTGTCTCTCTCTCAGGAGCAGCCTGTGGGCCTGCAATGTGTCAAGCTGAGTGGATGGCAGGGCAGAACTCACCCATCGAAGGAGTACTTGTTGGTGTTTGGCATGTCCATGATGTCCATGAAGCCTCTGTTCCCTGCAAAAGGCAGGGTGGTGGTTACAGGGAGGCATGTCAGCAGGTTGAGCAACAAACCAGCCTGGCTGAGGGCATGGGATGGCACTTCTTTATCAGGGAGGGAAACCTGGTGACTGAAAAGGCACCAGTGGCATGAGAAACACGCCCAAGCACAAATACAGGCTGGGCAGAGAAAGGATGGAGACCAGCCCTGAGGAGCAGGACTTGGGGGTACTG